TCCCAGAATCATGTTTGCGCTTTTTTTGTGGGGGGGAAGGGGGGGGGCAACAGTATCACACTGACTCATTTAGCTTGTGGGCCTCTGACTTCAGTGACCATATTTTCCTGAACCAAAAATAGGGACACATTAGCCACATCCTCAAACCCATGTAGCCATGCCCCAACCTGCCATCGGAAGTCCCACCTCTAGGGTAGTGCTTTCAAGATTGAGATGGGCACATGACCGAAAGTACATGGTGCATCTCAGAACAGAGAAAACAATCATTTAATTGGTCATTTGTCTCACCTGATAGAATGAGTTCAAGAACTTTCACATTACTCTAGTACTTCCATGAAAATATCTTACTAAGACATGAACAAACTTTTGATCTTTCTGAGACACCCAGTGAGACACCAAATTTCACCTAATTCCTGTTGCAAAATCTTTTGGAGCAAGAACGTTTTTCACAATTAGTTCACTTTTCATTTGTGCTGATGAAAATTTAGGCCCAAACAATGTAGAAATTAATTAAGCAGTGCAAGCTAAAGATCTGAAACTATGATTGTGTTTTACAGTCATGATTTGCAACTACTGCTTCCTTTGCAACTACTACTATGATTTGCAACTACTGCTTCCTTTGCCCCAAACTTCATTTTCACATAATAATCTTCTATAATACAAAGGAGGGTGCAGGAGTGAGCTGGGAGTGTGGGGTCTTGGTGGAGGATGTATGTGAAAGGGGGAAAGAGGTATGGGGTGGTGAATGAGTGAGCTGGCGGTGCAGGCAAGGAACCATCTAGTTCAGTGGTCTCCAGCCTTTTTACACCCAAGATCACTTTTTAAATGTCGGGGCAAGCCAAGATCTACTGCCCCATCCTTCCCCCAAGACCCCACCCCTTCCTTAAGGTCTCACCCTCTCCATTCCCCTCATCTCCATCATTTGCTGTCCCCAGCCCTCACTCAGTCTCACTGGGCTGAAACAGGAGGTGCAAGCTCTGGGGTGGGAATGAGGGATAGGGTGTGGGAAGGAGTGAGAGGTGCAAGCTCTGAAAGAGAATTTGAGTGCAGAAGGAGGAAGGGGGCTCTGGGCTGGAGCTGAGAAAGCCACAGGCTTGTGGAGGTGGCATGAGGGACTCAAGGCAGGGGGGGTTGGGTATATGATGGGCTCAGGACACCAGTTTGTGATATGTGAATGGTGCAAGAGTATTGCGGCAGAAGACTGGAGCTAAAGGGGGTAGGAGTTTGGGGATGTGAGGGGCTCAGGGCAGGGGGTTCTGGTGTACGATGGGCCAGGGTTGGGGCGGTCGGGGGGTGCAGGAGTATTATGATGCTGCAGCCAGATAGAGACTTGGCACCAATTGGGGGCTTGTTGGCCAGGCTTCATTTTTAAATACAATATTATATCCAACACAAAATGTATCAGTATTGTCTTTAGTTTAATTTCAATCATGAAACAGATTAAGCGTTTTAACTTGTTCATGTTAGTTTTCAAACTTCATTTGAAATAAAGTAAAATATTATGTCCAACACAAAAAGTTTCAATGTTTTCTTTATTGATGGCAGGGGTGGGGAACCTTTTTTTGGGTCAGGAGCCACTGACCCTCAGAAATATGAGTTGGGGACACAATAGTGAGAAGCTAAAAAATAAAACCTCCAACCCCCCAACCCTCACTAATGTGACCCCCAACTGAGACGCCTCACTCCCCTGGCACTCCAGCCTCATGGCAGGAGGGAGAGGGTAGGTAGGACTGAGGTTCAAGGCCTCAGGCCAGATTAACTCTTCCGGGTTCCAAGGTTAGTGGATTTTGTGTTCCCCTCTACACTCGGAGGTGGGGCCAAAAACGAGGGATCTAGTGTATGGGACAGGGCTGCCAGTGAGTGGGATAGGGATGAGGGTGCAGAATCTGGGTGGAAAGTAGGGTAACAGGGGGTAGTTGTCTGGCCAGGAGGCAGGAGTAGGGTGCTGGTGGGGAGTCTGGCCAAGGGGAAGAAGTGAGGCAGTAGAGTGCTGATGGGGTTCTGGCCAGGGAGTAGCAGCAGGGTCCAGGTAGGGATCTGGCCAGAGGACAGGGCGATAGGGGTTTGGCCAGGGGACAGGGTGATGGTGGGAGGTCTGGCCAGGGAGCAGGAGCAGGCTATTGGTGGGGGTCTGGCCAGGGAATAGTGGGCAGGAATAGCTCAGCCAGTACCTGGGAGTCTCAGCTGGCACCGTCCTATGCAACTCTGCCTTTTAAATCTGAGACCCACATGATCTTACTAGGTTTAAAATGTAGAGGGAATCAGCTGATTCCCAGTCCGCTTGCTGCTCTTCCCTTTAAACTTAGCAAAAGCCACACCAGTCATCTTAAATTTAAAAGGCAGAGCCAGGTGGGAGGGCTCCATCTGTGCTGGGAATCAGCTGATCCCAGTTTGTGCAGAGTGTAAGAAGCTGCTTGGCTCTTACTCAATTTAAAAGGAAGAGCCAGCACTGTGCATAAACCAGGACCAGCTGATTCCCAGCTCAACTGGCCCCATCCCGCGGCTCTGCCTTTTAAATCGAAGACCACCAGCATGGCTCTTACTAAGTTTAAAGGGAAGTGAGGTTTGTGGAGGGGGCTGAGAGCGCAAGGGAGCTACTTACCTTCTGCTACTTTACCGGTGGCTCCCAAAAGAACTACCTGCCGGCTACAGCAACAGAGGGCTAGGAATCAGGCACTACCTCCCACTGCTCTTATTGGCTGGGTTCCAATGTAGCAGGAAAAATCTGAAGGCGGTGTCTGCACACCTGTGTTCCCCTGGAAGGAGGAGGTGGGGAAACAGCAGCATGTAGCGCTTCTAGCTCTGCTGCTGTTTCCGGAACATTTTTAGTGTTTTTCGGGGCACCAGGACAGGAGACTGAAATCCAGGACTGTCCCTGATTTTTGGGGCTGTATGGTCACCATATCTATGACTCCTAGATCCCCTTCTGCAGTACTCCTTCCTACACAGTTGCTTCTCATTCTGTATGTGCAGGTATCATCATTCTAATTGTCCCATCTGTGGTCACACTAACGGCTTGTCTACACACAGTAGTTGTACTGATACAGCATACATGTATTATCATAATGTCTCATGGACCAGGCCACATTCTGTCAGGTACTGCTCATACCCTCTCTGCTGCAGACGCAATCCTATGGGTAGAAGAGTGCTTAGAGTGGTATAGCTCCTCCTGCACAAGAAAAGGAATAAACTCTCCGGGTTTGAAGCATCTTTAGCTCCACACCAGTGTTCCCTCTAGCAATTTCTATCCTTGGGCAGATTGAATTTTCTTTTGGGCACGATGAAATTTCTTATATGCAACACAATATTGAGTTGGTATGTGGATGTGCTCCACCAATACAAACAAAATCTCAAGCTAGTTAATACACCAAAAGGCATATTCTTTTGGGCGGGTTGACATTCTTATATGCAACGCAATATTGAGTTGGTATGTGGATGTGCTCCACCAATACAAACAAAATCTCAAGCTAGTTAACACACCAAAAGGCATATTATTCACACGTAGCTCAGCTTTAAGATACTAAAAAAAAATCTATGAGTCAACTAGAAATAGTATTTGCAAGGAAAGCATGACTAATACTGACACAGGAAAGGAGAGTAAAAGGCACTCACTAAATCTTATACAGTTTCTCAGGGGAATGTTAAGGGTCCATGCTATATAAGAACAAGTCAAAGAGAACTGCAAAACAGATACAAATTCTCCTGTTTGAAACTTCACCTTCTGTGCGTCACCAAATAAAAGAGTAGAAACACCAGAACAAATTAACACATGGCTTCAGAGTTTGTAGACAAATAGATGTTTCAAAGAGCCTGAAAATAAGGTTTCATCCTTCAAAACAATTAGCATCACGGGTAGTACTTGCTACTTCTGACTCTCAAGGGCCAGAACTCTACCACATAGCAAAGATCTAGCCTTAATGCAATCCAGATTTTAAAAAATCGTTAAGATCAGAGTTTTAGATATCTGCAACACTCCAAAAAAATTAAAAGAATCTTTTTTTTCTTACCTTAAGCCATTAACACTTATGTAAACTGTCTGAAATATAATCGTGCAAATGTTCTAGCACACATACACCCTCCTTGCAGCCTGCTTTCCATGCCTCTCCTCCAACACAGACCGAGGAGTACAGCAAGCGAGTCAGGACACCCCAAACAAACTCCCCCTCATGCCTCCACCTCAATGCAGATGCCAGCACCCAACCACCTTCTTTTCCCCACCTATCCCTGTGCAATCTGCTCCCCACAGTCCATCCAGCGGCTGGGATAAAATCCTGCTTCCCAAACTTGCATGCACAAACAGCCTATAGTACACAGAGCACAAACTTGCCATCCTTCCCTCACTTCACCCTGGGACACACAGCACAAACTCCCACAGCCTCCACCTTACCCCAATGTCAGCACCACCTCCTTTTCCCTCCCACATTTCCCATGCAGTCAGCCCCTTATCTCCCCCTTTCCAGCCCTAGAGGCTTGAGGAGAGTGTTGCATTTCTGTCTCTGCTTCTCTCTCTTTGCACAGATGGGACTATCAAACTCCCCTCCACTATGACTCTCCCCCCAGCCAATTACTCCCTCCTTCCCTCATCTTCCCCCTAGCCAGTTATTCCCTCCTTATCTCCCCTTCCTTACCTGCTCTCAAAGCTCCTCTGTTTCAAGTATGCAGCAGCTGTGTTTGCGCAGCCATGCAGCTTACAGGAAACTTTGCTCCACACTTGCAGTTATATCAGCATACCACTCTTAACTAAGTTCTGCATATAACACACCTTCAGGTTTCTTACACAGAATTAATGGGAAGCAAACTGGTATTAACTGTGCAGCAAAATTCAAACCACTGTGCCTCACTCATCTTCATGTGAACATCTGTCAAACCAAAGTCAGGTGGGAAGGGGATGTGACAGAGATCAGACTCCACAGGAAGGCCTCATTTTAACAGGGTCAACAGCACGAGGGCAGAGTAGCAAAGGTCACACATTTCAGGAAACACAACTAAGGCACAGCGGGTTAAAAATCCAACTCATGTTTATTCAAGAATATCTTAGGTCCTTACATGGCACCTGTAACTATCATGTCTGAGCATCTCATAATCTTTAATGAGCCTCACAACATCCCGGTGAGGTAGGGCTGTGTTAGCACTCCCGTTTTACAGCTAAGGAAGTGAAGCCTGACGCCAAGACTTCCAAGGGACTGGCTAGTGTCACAACCACAGCATCACCCTTCCATTCATAGCAGAAGACAGAGAAGAGAGAAAAGACCAGCTGAGACCACAGTCCTGTGAGAGACGCAATAACGAAGGCAGGAACTTCCAAGGGAACTGAAGGAAGTTAGGTGTCCTGTTCTTACTGAAATTTAACTAGACTTCAGCACCTACCTCCCTAAAGATCCCTTAAATATCCCAGCCAAACTTTTTGGAAGTTTATCTGAACTGAAAATAGTGGAGGTGCCAAAGGGCAAACAGCCTAGGAGAGAAGTTGAGCACTGCACTATGGGAAGTAGGATAACAACTCCCTGAGCCACTAGTAGAAATTGTCTATTTAATTGCTTGTAGATGGCCCTTGGTAATTTGTTATGTGTTCCACTCTTAATAGCCTGGAGAACATGTAACGATGGACACTGTTAGAAGACACTGTCGTAGGATATATTCTGCCCCAACTTCTGCAGAATTTCTACTTGTGTCCTCTCACCCCTTTCCAAAATCAGGTCTCTACCATCTTTTACCTGCTTCTTTCAGAGGATGAACACATTTTTTATGTTCAAAATGCTGAAAGACAAAGCTAAAAATTAACTGGACAGGAGAAATTTGTGAAAGACCATTGGATCCCACTGATTTAAAAGAGACTACTCTTGTGCTTAAAATTAAGCATGTATTTAGCTGGATTTCTGGCTGTACACTCAACATTTTGCAAGATTCAAACCTAAATCAACAGCAAAGGAAATTTCGGCATGGCTTCTGGAAATCTAGGTCCGGGGCTTTATCAAACTGTTCAACTTAGCTGCATCAAACAGTGGAAAGGTACTATTTAAAGCCTGACTGGTATTCAGGCTTCCACTGGCTCATCCTCCTCCTCCAAGGTGTAAGCGGAACTATGTTTAACCAACTCATTATTCCACAGATAAATCCAAGATCAGCACAGGATCAAACCAGGAGTTTAGTCTCAGTAAGCCTGTGGTAATGTTCTAATGCAACTTTGTACCAACTGACTGATATGTATGCAAAAATTTGATCCTATTGACACCACATTAGATGTAGTCAGTTGTAAAAGTTATTAATACTTCTTGGATTAAATTAGTTTATTCCTATCTGAAGTTTGTCAACTATACACAGACAATGATGGTTACAGTGTCATTACCTGATACCAATTTACAAGCCATCTATTGAGATTCACTAGAAGAGCATCAACTCCTACACTACAAGAGGAGTGAAACCTGGGCAGGACTCAGGCTTAATGGGCTGATGTGGCTACCAAACCCATCGCTTCCACAGATGGCCAGACATGATGAATGTGTTTCCAGGGCTGATCAGGTCCATCCAGCCCTGCATCCAATCAATGACAATAACCAACAACAGATGCTTCATAGGAAGGTGCAAGAACCCACCAGTGAATAATTATGGATTAACTGTCTATAGAGAAAATCTCTTACTAACCCCAAGCAGGAGATGAAAATAAAATGCAAAAGGGAGCAACTGAAAAACAAGAAATTTGTTATGGAAATGAGGAGGAAGATTCCATTTACAGAAGCTGGCAAAGACCACAGGAGCATCTCACCTAGTCTATCAACTTCATAGCCAAAACAGTTAGTTGTGTCTTCCACAGTCAGTCACAGAGAACCATTTATTATCAAAAGGCAGTATCATTCTAACGCAAAATGCTCCACGAAGAGATCGTTCTTCTTGCCAAACAATCCTTTCATGTGTTCAAACTCCAGGGGCACGGTGGTGGCTTTTTTCTTTATTTCTCTATCAAAAAGCTATTAAAAAAAAAAAGTTTTTTTTGGCAATACAAATCTCAGTCATGCCAAGTAAGACTTCTATCCCCACACCCAAAGCAGGAAAGAAGAAAGCCAAGAATGCTTTAGGCCTTTTCAGTGATGTCACAATGGGGGAAGCCATTTTAAAAAGGCGGCATCGCACAAGCAGATGGAGTTAAAGTAAAGATGTTAAATAATGATTAATTTACTAGTTGAGTAATTGATGACATTTCCATTGACTACTCGACTACTCAATAGGCACTTCCATATTCCTTCTTTGAAATATGCATTTTAAAATTGGAACTCCATTTGCAGCCCAGGGCCAGCAGGAAGTCCTGAGGACTACGGGCTGCACTCAGTGTCTCAGCTTTGAAAAGTACAAGAGTCCCCTGTGGGGGCTCTTGTGCATTTCAAAGTGGCAGCAGCCGTATGGAGCCCCCATGGAGTTGACCCTGGGTTCCATGTGGCACTGCTGCTTTGAAATGCCACGCGGAACCCAGGACTGATCCCAAGCTCTGCGCAGCATTTCCCCAGAACCCAGGATCAGCTGGGGACTCCCCAGCTGATGCTGGGCTCTGCACACTTTCAAATGCTGAGCTGGAGCCTGGGATCAGCTGGAGAGGAAGGGGTTAAGGAACGAGGCTGCAGAGGCTTCAGCAAACCCTGCCAGAGAGGTGGCTCAGAAGAGGAGGGTGCCTAGGGAACAGAGAAGCCCTACTCTCCCTGTGGGGCAGGACCTAGGGCGGGGAGCATCATGTAAAGAGGGTTCTAAGCAGGCTGCCTGGGGACTTGCAGAGTCAGGGCACAAACAGGTTGGAAATAGAGATTCCGTGTAAATGCTGCAGGGAGCCCGGAGTCAGCTAGGGAGTCCACAGCTGATCTCGGGCTTCACATGGCGCTGCCACTTTGAAATGCTGCGGTAGCATTTCAAATGCCGCGCTGAAACCCAGGATCAACTTTGCTGCAGTGGTGAAATGCTGAGGTGGCATTTCAAAGCGGCAGCGCTGCATGGAGACCAGGATCTGGGCTCTGTGCGGCGTT